CTACTTTTCAGAGGCGCGGATTGGATGAAACGTCGAGGATGAAAGCGGAAAAATTTAGGGAAACCAGAGGGGTCGATACTTTTCGACATCAACGTTTGAAGCTCGACTTTCTGTGCCGTTCGTTATCGAAAGCACAGCGGCACCCGTGTCAAACGGTGCCAATGGGTTCCGACCCCAGAGGTAGGTACTAGGGAGTATATAAAAAAGGAAAAAAAAAAAAAGAATTTCAGAGAGAGACAAGCCTAGGTCAGGGCATACTCACACGAGCACTTTCCTAAATGCACCTGACTGCAATTACGGCCCAACCTGGATGAATCTGACCCCAGTCACGTCCAGAGCGTAGTAGAAAATGTCCTAGTGTGAGTATGCCCTCTCAGTTGGTACACCCACAAACTGGTGAAATACAGCCTCAAGTTCGAATTCTGATGCAATCAGGTGAACAGAGTAAAATAATTCTGTAATATATCTGGGGAAAAAAAGAAGGAGAAGAAAAAGGAAAAAAAGAAGAAGAAAAGAATTTGAGAGAAGAAAAGGAAAAGAAAAAGAAAAAGAAAAAAAAGGCTCTTGTCAGAACGTTGAGTCTCCGTTCGTTACAGGCGAACGTAGTAGATGTCTTTCCTTTTTTTTTTTTTTTTTTTTTTTTTTGATAACATGTACGTTGATGTTGTTTCAGACAACATTTTTTTTTTTTTTTTGGATTTTCGAACTAGTTTTTTATTATCTTATGGATTTTTTTCAAACTGTTCCTGTTTTGTTTTTGGGAAAATTTTTGAAATGCGCCTCCATGTTCGGGGATTTCGTCAGATACCCCTAAAAGGCATGGGTATGGCTAAATGCCCCTATGACAGTAGTGGATAATTGCAAATTTTTCCACTCGCCAATTGGACCTGCCATCTTTTGCATATACCCCTACAGGGCCGTGGACAACTTGTCTATATGCCCCTGGTACTTTAGGCCGTTGGACCCTGGAGATTGTGAAAGGAATGCACGGGCCCCTGCAGCCCAGGGCCAGGGCATATGGCGAAGTTGCCTGTGAGCGGGACGGGCAGATGCAGAAGTTTGGGACATTTTAGCATACCCCTGCGTTTTAGCCTTTAGGGGTATCTAACAAAATACCCAAAGTTTCAGGGATATTTCAACAATTTTCCCTTTTCTTCCCCCTTTCAAATAATGGCAGATAGGAGCAACCCTAAGCTCCCGTTGTCGGGTTTTCGTAGTATAAGAATTTGAGAGAGAAAGGCAAAGGGAGTGTTTTTAATACTTTTTATCTTTTGGATTTTCAAACTAGTCTTTAATCTCTTTATCTTTTGGATATTCAAACTAGTCTTTATCTTTTGGATTTTCAAACTTAGTCTACCGTCTTCCCCCGAAAAGAACGCCCGGTTATTATAGACGTATTTAGGCAAATTTTCAGTCCAGGCACAGCAATAATGACCTGGCGGGTGTTCTATTCGGGTGACGACAGTAGCAGATAGTAGTTGCCAGGTAGTTGTTAGCAGATCGTAGCGTCCCTCAGCTCAAATTTGTCGGGGGCGGTTTCCAGTATATAGACGTATTTGGCCAACTTTCAGTCCAGGTACAGCGATAATGACCAGGAGGTGTCCTATTCGGGTGAAGACGGTAGTCGTTAGCAGATAGGAGATAGGAGTGTCCCTCCGCTCCAGTTGTCGGGGGCGGTTTCCGTTCCAGTCAGCACATCAGCACATCAGACAACTGATGTCTCTGAGCGGGTCTTTCGGAAAAAAGGTGCCCCCCACCTTGCACAAGGTGCCTATTATAGGGGGGTGGGGGAATGCAGGTAGTGGGCCCCCCCAGGGTGATGAAATGTGTCAGGTAGCACGCCACACTAGCTTGCCTCTCCCTTGCCCTCTGACAGAGTGCGTGGTGGTCCCGGAAGCATTTTAGTGAACCAGGTTCGTTTTCTCAAGGAGGACCGCCTTGAGATATTTTCTTCGAAATTCAAATTTGTCGGACTGGGGTAACTTCAGAGTCGTCATTTTACTGATCTGACTGGTTGGGATTGATCGATCGAAATTTCAAACTGAGGTCTGTGTGTTTCAATTTACAAAAGTTGGGGGGAACTCAGCCATGGTCCTATCACCAGTTCCGAAGTATCCGAAATTTTTGTCAAGCGATTTGCCAGTGCCCAAGTATTCAAGAACCAAACTTTATTCTTAGAATGCCAATCCGCTCTGATAACTTTCCTTATCTGGGTCTTCACTACCGACAGGGCATGGGTGAATAACCAATGGTCACCCTGAAAAAGGGCTGCGTTCCTGGTCTGCCAGATCACCCCCATCAACTCTCCTCTGCATGTTTGTGCTACATACCCCCACCCCTTGGAATATGGTTACTGCCTCAAGCCTTTCCCGGTCAAGATCCAGGTGTCCGTGCATTCCACTAGGGGAGTAATGTCTGCCGTGATGGCCTGCCAATGACGCCGCCAGCACTGCCACAGTCTAGCATTCTGCCGTGCTGTCTTGCACTCCGTGATAGAGGTCAGTCCCGGTCAGGTCAGGACTTGCATCTAAGTCTTCCACTGCGCTAAAAAGCACCATTTTTGTATGTATCAGAATGTACGCTGCTTGTTGAGATTTCACTTGCACTGCATTGTCCATTCAGTCCTTTTTATCACATTGTGGATCCTCGGTTTATTATGTACATTGCCCAACTGGGCATGTAACAGTCTTATTGACACCGGACAGTGAATCCATAGGTGTGTTGTCGTTTCCCATGCCCACTTGCAACGAGAGCAGGTTTGAACAATATTCAGCCCCTTTGCAGATAACCATGTGGCTGAGGCCACAACCTGGAGGGATCGCAGCCAGAGCAGGGCAGCTGTCTTCTGGTTGGTCATCTTCTTCAGTTGAGTCCACAAGCATTGTAGGTCCCGCCCCATCATCAGACCCGGACAGTAATCATCCCATCTTCTGCGAGCCATCACTGTTGGGGATCTCACTACTCTGGATCTCTGTATCTCTCAGCCGATTCTTGTTGAGTATTGTACCAGTGGAAGCAGCTCTGTCTGCTGACTCTTCAGTTTCCACCCATAATTAAATGGTTCTATTTTATACAGGGCAGCTGAAACTCCTCCCATGCATTGCTCCACCCCTGTGCTGTCTTTGGTAAGCCAGACCCTCACTTCTTCTAAGTCTCCGCTCAAGACCTCCATTCTCTCATCTGTCAAGGTTAGCGGTCTGCAAAGCACCTGTGCTGTTGTCGAGTATGCTGCTGGTTTCCATTCCTGGATCCTTGTACCCTGCTGAAGATCTGGGCCTAGGATCCTCCAGAACTTTTCCTCCACCCTTGGCGCTCTTGCCCATGAGTTCCCATAAGGTAGAGCTTCTCCACTCAGCAGTGTTTTCCAAGTCTGTGGGATCGCTGCTTTCAGCGCAGCATAGTGAATCCTGACGTTATGTAGCCTTGGGAGGTGTAATCTTTGTCTCCGCTCTGTGACCCAGTCCTGATTTTGCTCATCTTAGATGTCCTTAGTCATTAGAATACCTTTCTTGATCCATGACCTGCCAAAACTGCCCTGCGTCTGGGCCGCTGAGAAGGGTGAACCATCCTGTTGCAGGATTCCATCATTTTCAAAAAGAAACTCTGTTCGGGGGGGGATGTGCTCTGTTGGTCTGTTTTTTTGCCACGCTGTGAGGATAGACTTCCAAGTCTGTGACTTTGGCCGTCTGTTCACAATGACGGGATCAGCAAACACCGCCGCACTGCGTTGTGATTATCCAATTCCCATTCTGTCCCCAATGTGGACTCTGCCAATTTGATCCATATTTTGTCCCCTTTTTCAAACATAGCCTTGATGGGGCATCTTCCCAACAATGCTATGTTCTGTTGTCTTGGGCTACTTTCGGAGTAGGTGACGAACAAAGTTCTGCAAGGCTGGGGCCGTATAGGACAAATGCCCTATTGAGCCAAAAAAAAATAAAAAATAAAAAATAAAAAAAATCAATCCAGTAAGGTATGGGGGACTCCTAGGGCCAAGGCCCACCAGCAGCAGTGTTGAGTTTCCTCAACGCTCGAATCTGGATGTGTTTGTGGACATGTGCAGAAAGTTGCTTTCAGGTGCTTAGGAAACTCAATGCTGCTAGTGGGACCTTGGCTGCTGGTCTGCATAAGGCACTAAGGGCGTCGTTAGACACTCCTTACGAGTTCCTTGAGCCACAAGGAATTTTCCTTGTGGCTCGTAAGGGAATTTGGCGGCTTCGTTCCACACATGCTTGGGGACGTCCTCCGAGGACGTTTCCTTGTGGCCTGCCCGCGACCATTTTCATATGAAGATATGCGGCCGCGGGCGGGGGTGTCCGTGGTCCAGTGACCGGTGTTCGTATGGAGACAGCGTGGTCCAGCGACGTCCGGCGGAAAAGGGCATGAGGCACGCCACGAAAAATAAAATAAAAAAGGGGGACCTCTACGTTTGAAATTCAAAATTTGAAGTACAGCTGTGGTGGCGACGGCGATGTTCGGCTTGCAGCGCGCAGACAGTGCAGGGCTGAATCGGCCTTAGCGGCGGCTTCCCTTCCGCCCACCTCCCGGTCAGTGTACGTGCGTGCACTTGGTGCGTCTATCACCGTCGAGCTTCTCCTCCACATCGCCCGCGCCGTCACATGCCGTTCCGCCAGGGGGACGACATCCACGGAAAGGCGGCAGCTTCTCGGACCTCTCCTTGGGGGGTGAGCGGGTTACGTCTCTGGGGTGCGAGGATTGAGGCGGCAGCGAAGAGACGTCATCCCTGTGCAGGTGGTGGCAATGGAGGGTGGGGGAGAGGGCGGACGTGCGCTGTTGACACCGCTTGAGTGGGCAGCCGTGGCGGCGGCCGTGTCAACCGTTATTCTTCATTGTCAGCAGGAGAGGGTGCAGGGACGAATGAAGCAGCAGTTGTGTTTCCGTAGAAGGAGGACTCTGGTGCAAGCTGCGGATGACGGCCCCGACTACGTGGGAACTTCAGAGGCTGTCATTGAGTTGTGCTACATGTTGGGTTGCAGCATCATTCCATGAGCGACACCGAGGTAGTGGATCAAACGCAGGATGGGGGGGACATGGGAAGACCTTCGACAATGCGATGATGCCATGGATAACTACTTCAACGAGAAGCAGCACAGCGCAGAGGAGCAGCAGAGGGACCACCAGAAGCAGCACAACGATGAGGAGCAGCAGAGGGAGCCTGCGTTACAGGTCGGCCATGAACTGCACGGTGGAGGGGACAGCAATGAGCACACGACGGCGGAGAAGGCAAGAGTCTTATCGGACGTGCAGCATGTGACGACATGCATGGGAATACGACCCTTGTGAAGAAACCTCTTTTGTGGATGGACTGAAGGCGCCGCCCGGGAAAAAAAAAAAAACGACCATTGATGCCGATAGAAAATGACGATGCCACACGATGGAGGCCCACCGCCAACAGTAGCCGTTTGGGGGCGTTGGGGGACTACGCATGCGCTCCTCGAGCACGCGAGACTGCATGATGCCGGTCGAAAACGACGACGCCACCTGATGGAGGCCCACCGCCAACAGTAGACGTTGGGGGACTACGCAGACGTTGGAGGGCGGGGATGTCCGTGCTAACGCCGCTGGACCACATCTGGACCACCCAAGAAGCTCCAAGGGACCTCACAAGGTCCCTTGGAGATAAGGAAATTTTGGTTGGGGCCACAAGGATGCCACAAGGAATTTTCCTTGTGGCGTTTTCACATTTCTTTTTCAATTTCGTCCCCAAGGACAGGTGGAACAAGCGCATCCTTGTGGATTTCACGTCCCCGAGGAGTGTCTAATGACGCCCTAACTGCAAATACCAGAGAAAAAAAAAAAAAGTACTGGAAAAAGAATTGCCTTGTAGGAATTCGGCGCCCACTTCGAGGACAGAGCGGTGAACAACACAAGTTCGACCCCAG